CTCTTTCTGTGAAAACTCAATTGGGAGACTCTTCAGTAATCCAAATATATTCTTTTTATAACATAAAGCAAGTTGAAATGTTTGGTCACTTACTATTATGCAGTGCTTTTTTTTTTTTTTCCAGGCTCAAAGTTATTGAGAAAAAAACCGAAAACTTGTTGAGCCTCCCCTCTCTCCCCCCCCAAAAAAAAACCTTGTGCTGGGGGCTGAAATGTGATTGTGGCCCCTTTAAGAGCTGCATGTCCCATGTGGGCTTCCATAGGGAAAATGTTAAATAGGTGCTGATATTTCAGAGGGGAATCCCATTCAATTAAAGTATGCTGGGAAAATAGGTGGTGGTACACCCTCCCAGGACGTACCGTCACAAAAAAAGCACTGCTATTGTTAAAGGGCTGCACAGCAAGGAAATGGGTTCTTTTCCCTCAACATTGTCTCCTAGTTTTCTCTTCAGAACTATCAGTACATAACAGAAATTATTGCAAGAAAAGATTTTTAGAAAATGAAAATAGGAATCAGCCATACTCAAATAATAAGCCTTAGCAGAATGCTGGTGTATTCCTTGATATTTGAAGGCATTCAATTGCCTCTATCTAAAATGGCACAAAATACAATGAAGCACATCCAGGTGTAATTTAATGTTGTATATAGATCACCATTAAGGATGAGCCTTACCAGTTAACCACTCACATCCTGAGTAAGAACAGCAGATTTTTAAATAAATTCATGCTTGTTCATACTACTTGTTACTTTATTAATTTCAGAAATCCTGCCAGAGACCTGTGGACAAGTACATTGAATATGATCCTGTTATCATCTTGATTAACGCCATCTTATGCAAAACACAGGCTTATAGGCATATTCTTTTCAATACACAGATAAATGTAAGTTGCTATTTTCTCTCCCCCCTCTCTTCCCCCTTTGGCTTTACAAAAGATGTATGAGACTCTGACAAATTGGAAAGAATCATAGTGGAAACGAGATTTAGTGGCTTCCCTAAAAGTTTATTTTCCCTCTCCTACCACTTCACAATTCCTAGAAAGTCTAACTATATTTTGTTCTTGGTCTAAATTAAGGGTCAAATGCTATAAACAAAGTATGTGGAATACCAAACACTGTAACTGCTGTTCACTCTTCTGAGAAAATATGTTTGCTCATGTCAACATATACAATTTGGGTTGCCAGGTGTCTGGTTTTGAACCAGACAGTCTAGTATTTGAGCTTTCTCTTTGGGAAACAAATTGAGAAAATATAAACGTCCGGTATTTTCTAAATAAGATGTAGATTATGATGTAATATCATTATGATGTAATATCACGTGTGTCCGATATTTTTGTTGAAACCATCTGGCAACCCTATATACAATTATGGAAGAGTGAAATGCATCTTACTGTAGCTTGTGTGTCCAAAGAACTAAGCAAAGTACATTCAAGTTGCAGAAACTTATATTGGGGATTGCATATGTGCCAGAAAAAAAATAGGTTGACAGTCAGAACCCTGATTAAGTCCTCTTATTGCCCGTGTTGGAAGTAGGGGTGTCAATGAGTAGTGAATTATATGATTAACTGATAAAGCCTAGGCTTATCAGTTAATCATGTAAACTATTTGCATTCTCCCTTTCCTTCATGCTGCCTCTGCATCAAAGGCAGTAAGAGGGGGCAGTAGGAGCCTGCTTAAAAGCTGGTTCCCTCCAGCACCGGCTCCAAGATGCCAACTGCTCTTTTTCTCCCCCCCCCCCTTCCCCCTGCACAAAGCAGCCTCAGTCCACAGCAAGCTCAAGCTCCCCAGGGGCAGAGGCTGCTACACATCCCAAGGAGCATCTTCAGTCGGTGGTGAGCCTGGGCCCACCGTGGATGGAGGCTGGTCCCCAGCAGCAGCCTTTGTCTGCGGGGAGCTTGGACCCCTGTAGACAGGGGCTGCTGCCTCTGTATCAGAGGCTGTAGGCTGCAGGTCTATGTGGGGAGCTAGTTTTTAAACTGCTCCCCTTGCAGACGGACTCCCACCTGCCACCCCAGAGGCAGCCAGCGCAGGATGGCAGAGGGCTTCCTGGAAGTGGGGCCAGAGCACACTGGCTGCCACCCTATCCCCAGAAACTATTCAGTTACCCAATATCTAACATCCCTAGTTGGAAGCTCACTTTATTCATAAAATCAGGCACATTAGCTATGGAGATGCATTTATTGTGGACACAACCATGCCCGTGCCATTTTTTAGTCATATTTTTCAGGTGAAACTTAAAATCCTGTGTGTGACACTGATTATGCTTATATATTGAGTCTCTTTCTCTCCCCCCTCCAAACATACTTTCATACCATGATTTTTATGGTTTCTTTCTGTCAGGAGCTGCTCATATGACTTGCCAAGTCCAAACTCAATAGGGCTAATATATTAAAGCAGCTAATTGTTATTAAAAATTGTGCTAATGTAGTAAAATGAAGTGAAGTCATTTGTTTCTATTCCTAAGCCTAAGTAATAAAGCTATATCAGTTGTCTGCCTAGAGATGCTAAGAGAGGACCTTGAATTAAAAGTACTTAATCCTGACGCTGTCAACATTCTTTCATATCAGATTCATGGGAAGCTTTGCATATTTTGTTTGCTTTGTGAAGCTTATCTCAGGTGGCTGCAGCTTCAGGATTCAAGCCAAAACACAGAGCCTGATGACTTAATCAGATATGCCAAAGAATGGGATTTTTATAGAATGTTTGGGATTGCTTCTTTAGGTGAGAGAACTATGATTATATCATATCACTGTCAAAAGAACTATTAAACCTTAAATGTGAATATATTGAAGAATTTGCTACTACAGAATGCATGTCATACTAGCCCAGAGATGGCTGAGTGACCTGTCAGATACATAGATCTGTATATAAACAGTCTAAAACATTTCTGTGGGCCTTCAGGGGAAAATAGCACTGCATACGTTACTTCATTTATTCATATTCTTTTTCCTGCCTTCTTTTAATGTCACTGCTCATGGTAATCATCTGATTGCAGTGCAGCATAAGGTGATCATTAAATGTCAAAGTGCAAGAAAATGACAATATTTCAAAATATTAGGTCTGCATAGGTATATGGTAATGGATAGCTATGCCTTATTCCAAAGACTGAAATCTTGGATATTAGCAGCATGCTGCATTTTATATTAAGACTGAATTGATTCATTTAATAAACTTGTTTGGCTATTTGTTTTTTGTTTTAGTTTAGGTTGCTCACTATAACATCTTAATCCCAGTTGCTATTCCACATGTTGAAGGAAGATCAGTCTAAAATATACTTCTAAATATAATCTGTTTAATTGGTAGTTCAGTTTTCTCATGTGTCCTAGTCTAAAAATGTTAGGAAACTTTGAAAAATGTTTCTCTCTAGTTTTGTTTTATATGCCATTGAGAAAGGAAATAAAAACTAAATCCATTTTTTGCGACTAGCCAAACACTATTTTTATTTTGCTGCAGCGGCAACTAACAACTGGAATCATACATTTCTTATATATTGATTCACTACAAAGCTTATTTGTAGAGTTGAGATAATATTTAGAATAATGCTTATGAAAACAAACAGTAACCTGGAAAAAACATGTTGACTTTTGAACCTTAAACAAATAACATTTTAAAAATATTTACAAATTGAACAATGACAAACCTGGTAGATAGGGAAGAGATTTGTTTCCAAGTTTCTAAAAGTGCCTGTAAAAAAACAGAGGGGAGGGATAAAAATTTAAACTTTTTAAAGTATATTCATATCCTTGTGGTATTGCTAATTCAGCCGCATATAATAAAAAACATACGAATTCTCTCAACTTTGAAGCTTAATACTGTCAGTCTAGGTCTGTGGTTATGCTACCAAAAACTGTAGTTCATCATCTATGCACTGCTCAGCAAAAGTGCTACTGTAGATGAAGATTGGTGTTTGTTATCATCTTACCACTGTTTAATAAAAACCTGCTCAGGGCAAGGTTAAGGTGCCTCAGAGGTCAGTCTTCACTAGCACTTCTTCCAGTACTACCGTTGCTGGAGCAGCACTGACGGTGCATT